CATGCCATTGCGCTTTGGAAGACAGAGTCATCCCAGTGATGAAAGGACACCAAACTCCTCTCCCAACCTGCCCCAGAGGTTTGGAAGATCCTGGGTGGCAATTCGAGTGTGTGCAGAGTGCCCGAGCATCAGACGAGCACCGAACCAAGTGCTGTCTCAAAGATTTGAGAGGAATAGTCCCTACTGGAAGCTTCTGAGGACTGTTGCCATTGAACAGTTATTAAACACTGGCTTGCACTGGTAGGTAAATGATGTTCTTAATGGTTTATCTATCTTCAACCTCGGGTGCACTCCTGAGAAGGGATGGGTGTCCCATTGTGCATTTGCAAACAGTGTGCTTTGTTCCTACAGGGCTGAAAACTTTGATTCAACAACTACCTCAGATGAAGAAACAGAGCTGGAAGAAAAAAAGAGTAAATAGTGATTTTTGTCTATAGGGCTCTGTAGGATGTAAATATCAACATTTCTTTATTTTACTGTATAGACAAGTGCTTAAAGTGAAACATATGAGGAAAATCTTGTATGTCTCTTTAAATAAAGTTACACATATTGTGATGGAAAGAAAATTTTCATATTTCATACTGAGTCACAGAAATGTTTCTCTTACATCTGTCTTGACTTTGCACAGTTGGCCTAGCAACGATCATGAGCAATGTTTAAACCTCAGCCCTGCAATCACAAACTGTTCCGTCCTGATCCAAAGGAGTGTCAGTGGGCTGTGCCATTGGGAATAAAACTGATTTACACAAACATTAATATCCTGTGATGGTGGTCCATTCCTCCAGCTAATGCTGTGATTATCTCAGACATTGTTTAGATTTTTTTTCATCAGTTTTGCTTTTCAGTACTTCTTTGGAAAAATCATTTTATTGTTGAATTTTTTTTTAACCTTGCAGTTAACTATGTTAGCACCCGGCATCCACTGAAACCCTGCCGATACAGGAGCAACTTTACGGCATGTGACCCTGCAGTTCAGTGATAAACCACAAGGGGGAGATAATAACCCAATCAAAGTGGCCACTGTGATCTTTCTGCTCAGCCTCTAGTTTGAAAATTAATTCACTTTTTTCATAATAATTCCAGTAAATATATATTTAATAAAGAAAATATGCTTCCTTGTCTTCCTATAGTGGCGTGTAAATAAACTCCTCGTGTCCTGGAAACCACCAACTATATATGTACATACTCTGTCAGTAGTGGGGGTATATCAGGGTAACATGTACTATTTCAATGGCCAAAGAGGTTAGAATACTGGTGATTGGTGCAATATCATGAGATAGTTTTAAAAAAACCCTTCTGACATTTTGTATTCAGTGTTTCGTATATCAGTGGCTAGGTTGATGTGGAGGTTAGCGCTGTCACCTCACTGCAAGAATTCAAACCTTCTCAGGGGCTTTGTTGGGTTTTCCTCTGGATTCAGTGTAAGTGTGGGGTTAACTGCTTTCTAAGCTGGTTGTAGATGCAGATGTGAGATAGAAAATACTTTGAGAAAAAGTAAATATACATAACTTGCAATAGCATTAAATAAAGTATGGCTATCCCGTAGCCAGTTTTACACCCTTTGCATTAGAGCCTTAGCTGGATAACACAATAAAAAAATCTGTTGGCTGGCCTGGACAGTGTGGTTTTTAACAGATGAAAATGAGGAGCTGTGTTTATAAATCCATTATGGTTGCATAATGGTGACAAATGCATTTTAACCTGCAGATGAACCTTCAAACTGCAAGTGTAAAAATAGATTTCATAGAGGTGTTTATCAAAAGGAAAATTTATACTTTGTAAGTCTATCTAACACTTTAAAGAGTTATCTTACAAAACAGAAGGCTTATAGGGAAGGAAGTCCACATTAAAGCAAGGCAGTCGTGTTTCTTTAAAATCTTTATTCAATGAATGTAATTTCTTAAGTTCGAGCAGACAATTGCATTACTGTTAGTATTACAGAGTAAAGCAGGGAAGTCAACACATAAAACATTAAGCACACAGAAAACTCCCACACTCCCACTGTTTCCTTAGTACTGTGCATCCTGTACTACGGGAACTATCGCTGTGTTAGATAAAACTCTTTATGTCATCCACCGGTTAAAAATACATTCACACCTTTCTTGATTCACTGGAATGATTCTGAAAATGGTGACACTGATTTTGTTACTCCAGACTGAGGGAAAATGTGACCACCTTGGTTGTGTTTGGTCTCCCTCTAGTGGCCAATCATTGTACTGAATGAATGTCCTACCGAACCACTGCATAGTCAACCACCCCCATTATAAATTTGAGATCTTACTTTCTGAGCTTCAAACTATCCGGCGCAACGCTGAAGCTGAAGCTAAACACTGAACTTCTGTCCAGAGGTATTTCAGCCACAGTCCAATATCTGCAAGTTTTCCCTTTTGTTTATTAACTGTTCATTTATTTGTTTTTTATGTGTCTTTTTGGAGGATAAATGATGGCATAAATATTTTCTCACTTTGACTTTTTAGCAAAAGCGAGTCAATCTTCCTGTTAAATAAACTATTTTAGTTTTTTTTTCTTTTAAACTTGTTTTTTTTGTTTTTTTTGTTTTTTTACATGTTTTTGTTCCCAGAAGATCTTGTTCCACATTTCATAACTTGTGCATTAACAGCCTGGAAGTTGGTGAGTGATTTTTTTGACTCTGGGCCACTGTTACATGTAAATATTTGTGTAGTATATTTCCACTCGCTTCATATGAAAAAGTCAATCATAATCAATCTATCCTCTAAGAACTATTTCTTCATCTTCAGCTGCTCCCTTTAGGGGTCGCTACAGTGAATCATCTGCCTCCATCTCATTCTATCCCTCAGCATCATTTTCTTTTATGCCATCCCCCTGCATGTCCTCACTACATCCACAAATCTCCTCCGCAGTCTTCATCGTCTTCATATTCAACATCCTGACAGAACAAACCTTCATAATCTTATAAATTTCAGTAGAGCTTTGAATGTGAATTGTAATCTGCATTTTAACTCTTCTGTACTGGAATTTATGGGAGTTTTCCCTTGGAGTGCTCAGTAGTGTGTATATTTCTGCTATAATATTAAGAAAGGATATGTTTCCCATACCTGATGGCCAGAGCAGCAGGCCTGAACAGGTAGCACAGTAGCCAGAATTCTTCTCCGATTCACCGATTTTAATCTCAAAGAATTAATTTAATTATTGTGTTTTCTTTTTTAGACATTGTATGGGATGAAGACACAGGAAATCCAAAAAAGTACATTCCAGGCACCAAGATGATCTTCAGTGGCATCAGAAAGAAAAAAGAGAGAAAGGATATTATAGACTATTTAAAAGAAGCTTATGAGGCGCATAAACTACTGCTGATCGATGCTTGTGTGGAACATTGTTAGAACTTTGTTTTCTGTTAACATTCACTGTTCATAAGTGTTTTCTGTTTAGATGTATCAATTTGGGCAGGCTTTGTGTAAGAGGTTTTTAATCATCTTTTCAAACCACTGGGTGTTACAGACAGATCATTACAGTGCTGCTCTTTACTTTCACTGAATTCATTTCTGTTTTTGTTTCTGTTCTGTGTTTTTTATGGATAGTATGGTCAACAAATAGATTGCTGTTGTATTTTTAAAAAGATAAGAGAATAAGGAACAATGTAAAGTGCTTAGATTAGTTTAACAGGCCTCATTCTCTATACTGAGTTAGCATGCTATTTTACATTTGCCAAACACCATTGACTTTGACCTTGTAGTGTTTAGTTAATCTTATATTAAATTTTTGCATAAAATTTTTTTAAGGTTGCCATTTATTTTCTTGAAGCACCGCTTTGTTTTTAATATGTTTGGCTTCACCACACAGCACTAGGATTCTAGCAGACAAAATTTTAGATTGAGACACTAATAATATATTCATAGAGCATATATTTTTGAAGGACAAATTACTTTGCAAATCAGAAGGCGGTGTGCATTGGATGTGAAATTTAAACCTACCAACAGCTATCCTGAATCCTCTGGGTTTAAGATTACAGACGGATAAAAGTGAGCGGAGAGAGCAAATGAGTTAAGTTTGTCCAGCAGGTGTCTATCCTCCAGCAGTCCTCTGCTGGCTCCTCCATCACACACTGCTCATTATCACTGCACATCCTGATTACTATCAGTGATTTTGCCCTTTTCTCCTTTCTCCTCCCAAATTATGTGGATCAGACAACCACCCCCACAGGCAATGGATGATCAGGATCTATTCCTAAGGAAGTTTACATACTTCACTGGGTGCAGCAAAATATGAGAGATTTTTTATCAGTTAGTTGTGGTGAGTACGGTGTACCTTACTGGGGGAGCAGCATCAGAGCTAGTGACACCAAATGACTGAATATACTAATCACAAAGGCTGGCTCTGTGATTGACTGCAAATTGGACACTTTTGAAGATGTGGTGGTGAGGAGATCATTGAACTATCTGCTACCCATTATGGAAAATCTTGGCCACCCGCTCCACCACTTACTAGACAGGCACCTGCGCTAACAGATTGCAAGTCTGGTAAAGTGTCTTGCACCAGGCCCTATTTGTCTAGCTGTCTATTTTCCTTTGTAATCTTTGAGCTTGCTTTCACATCTGGCAGGGTGGATGAAGTGCAGCCAGACACGAGTTGCTTACTCGTGTCTGGCATCCAAATAAAAAAAACATCCAAATAAAAGTTTTTATTAACACATAACATATTTCCTGCAGTATCCGAAGCAGCATTGCGTCTTATTTTTCATCTTTATATACAAAATAGTGCAATTTAATCGGACAACCAAAGTGTTAATTGGTAAAAAAGATAAAGATAAAATCCACATTACAAACAATTATCACCAATAGGCTCGATCAATCAGCTGTTAGTGAAACTTTATTTTATTTTATTTTATTTTATTTTATTTTATTTTATTTTATTTTATTTTATTTTATTTTATTTTATTTTATTTTATTTTATTTTATTTTATTAAATTAAACGGACAAAGGTATCCAGCAGAGGGCGCCATTACTCCAATAAAGAGCTCACCACTGAGGACGCAGAACGTGCCAGGCCAGTGCAGGCACGCGCAAACTTAAATTGCGTTATGCGGCCAGCTGTCCTGAACCCGATCCAGATGACACAACAGTAAATGGTCCCGCGATCCACGCCCGCTGGGAGCTGAACAGCACACCGCCGTGTCTGCTCCACTCAGTGGCTTCTCTCTCTGATGGGCTCTGAGGAGCGCCAAGAGAAAAAAACAAACGGTCCTCTGAGCTGCAATTGTGTTGTTATTGACCGGCGGTGAAGAAGCGGGTCGATAAGTGGATCGGATTTATTAGCTCTCCAGATTGGCTACACAAATGTCAGAGGAGCCACAGTACTCGGGACTGCACAGCGCGCATCTCATTTAGACGAAAGGAGCGCCGGACGGCGTGTCTACAACAAGTGCGGCGCAATTTCGAGCTGAAGGTAAAGAGATCGCGCAAATGAAATCCACGGGATGACATTTATTAGTGGTTTAGAGCTGTGGTGTCGTTTCGACAGCATGTACTGTTTAATCAATAGGCTGCGAGAAGAAGAAGTGAGCGCCAGTGACGATGTGATATGGAGTGACACGTGAGCCTTTATCAGCATCTTTATGCAAAGCCACCCTCTTTCTCTCTCTCTCTCCCTCCTGTTATTGACCTGCATTGACCGCATGCAGTGTGAGCGTGTTAAAATGGTTTGTGTGAATGAATCTTACTATTGTTGACAAGCAGTGGCCTCCCCTCTGTCTAATTCTGGCACAGAGGGTGGGTAGGTGATGGTGGTAGTGGTGGTGCATGGCTGGAATTACAGCGGTGTTTAAATCTGCTGCAGTGTGGAGCTGCAACAAGTTTATGATGCTATAAGGAGAGAGAGAGAGAGAGGCTTTAGTGGACTGAAGTGATGAAATAGTGACACCCTCAAGAGGGAATAAGGAAAAGTGACAGGTGCCAACTACTGCAGTAAGCTCAGGGAACAGAAATAGAGTGTACTGTGTGTATAACCGGCTGCCCTGTGTGCGTTTTAGGAAAAGTAATCCAGCAGCATGGACCTGGAGAATATTGCAGTTACCTTTCTCATCCTTCTGTCTCCTGCGTGGGCCTCATCTCATCACTCCTATATGGACGGCATCCTCTCAGCCCGCTCAGGTAAGTCCAGCTTTGCGTGTGTGTGTGTGTGTGTGTGTGCATGTTCCACTCCATCTGATGCGCACTGCTCTCTTTTTTCCTCTCAGGCTTCAGGTTCCTGGCCGAGCCGATGAGGTTTGACCCCTGTTGTCTCATGTCACCTCCTCCACCACCACTCTTCCCTCCTCCGCCTCAGCTTTGGAAGAGGGTCAGCCCTGTACGTCTTCACAAACACACCTGTTTCTATACAGCCTCCCCTACCTGCCCGATGTAGGCCACTGACTTAAAAAGAACTTTCTCTCTGATTGTGTGTTTACTGATCCAATGAAGGACAGCAACAGCCTGTTGGAGCCGAGTGTTTTCGGAGGGGAGGTGCAGATAAAACCAAAGCCTGTGATACCAGGATGTCCGCCTGGACCTCCGGGACCTCCAGGTCCGACTGGCCCAGAGGTAAGGCTTTACTTCAAAATAAATAAATAAATAAATAAATAAGCTGCTGCACAAAATCCTTCTCTAAAAGCAATTCAGCCCGATTTAGCCACAGAGCATCCATCTGACAGCAAAACCATTCTTAGACAGCAGATGGACATATTGTTAAACAAGCGCAAACCTTTTTAGTATTGATTTTTCTACAAATGTACCATGCTCATTATGGGATATGTGAGATTTATATAAATCTGGTGACATTTTTCAGGGTCATAGTGGATTGCCCGGCATAAGAGGACCAAAGGGAGAGAAGGTGTGTGTGTGTTTTGAGGGTTTTGTTTGAGGGGTGGGGGTGAGTGAATTATGTCTCTAATGCAGTTTTCTGTAAAAGCATTTGTGTTTGTGTGTGTCCTTGTGCTCTTCTCTGCTCTAACGAGCACCCCATCTCCTGCCCCTCCATTTGTCCTCCTCCAGGGAGAAATTGGACGTCCAGGGTTAAAGGTGAGCTGCTCATCCTCTCCTGCACATCTTGTGCTCCTCAACTCTCTCCGGTCCATCTCGTCATCTTGTCCTTGGTGTAATGGGATCAGGATTTTCCCCACTGTCTGCCTCTATTCTCCCCCCTGGATGCATCCTGGAGCTCTGTGATGTGATTTGTCTATTGATGTGCTCAGAATATCCTCTGCAGCTGCTAAATGGGTCCCGCTGCATTAGTCCCAGAAGATGCTCGTCCTGCAGCAAACTTTGATCCCGTTGTCCCCTCACCTTGCTGTTCCTTTTTTCTCCTCTGCTCCGGCTTCCTCTCTCCGTATTTCTTTTTCCTTGGCCTTGCTCCAGTAGCTCTCGTACCAAACTCTAGTCCTGCTGATCCAGCCTCTCCAGCACTCTACTTCTCTACTTTAATCACTCTAAGTGCCTTTGCTCTTCGTGATAAATCACTCCACACACATACACACACACACACACACACACACAGACAGCAGGTCCGTAGAGTCTCTACAGGCTGCGGTTTTAATGAAAGGCAGTTAAATGAAAGCACATTGCTTAGCATGGCAGCAGCTCTGCAATGCTTGTCCGGGTGTCACGGAGATGTTCGGCTGTTGTCTATCATGTTTGGCTCTTTTGCCCAGAACCCAGATTGATTAGGCTTTCATTCCCGTCCAGTAATTTGCAGTGCTTCTAGAGCGGAGTCTGAGTTGGAGGTCGGACTCTAAATGAGTTTGCAGCAAAATTCTTCGTGCAGTTTTAGAGTAGACGAGCAGCTTTTTGTGTTCACATCACTTTTACTGAAGCGGGCAGAGAAACTGTTACTGGTATTGATGTTTTTGTAGGGTCGTACTGGAGCTCCAGGCCTGCCAGGCAAACAAGGAATTCCAGGATGGCCTGGCCCACAGGGGCCCAAGGTAAGTGTCATGACTCTTCCTCCAGGCACAGACACATTTTTGGGTGCATTTTGTTTTTTACTCCTGACACCTGAAATACATCTAGTTGTATTTTTTCTCAGGGTGAGAAAGGGGACCCCGGACTCATGGGATTACCAGGACTGAGGGGACCACCTGGAATAAAGGTTAGTGGCATGTTTACAGGACTACCTGTTTGATTCTTATTAAGCTTTCTCTCTCTGATGTACTCTTGTCTCTTACTCTGTCTTTTCAGGGTTTACGTGGTTACAAAGGGGAGAAGGCAAGTTCTGTGTCACATCTTCTAACTAACTGTTCTTACTAAAAAAGTGTCATATCCACATTTTCTCTTTCTCCCCTCGCCCCAATTCTTTTTTATAAGGGAGCTCGAGGTGATCCTGGACCAGTAGGCCTAAAAGGCGATAAGGTTTGATACACTCCCTTTTTTTTTAAATTTTAAATTCAAATGATTTCAGACGTTTTTCTTGGTTTGGCTGTTTCAGAGTCCAAATAAATTACTGTTAAGTATTTCATATACATGTTATGATAAAGTCAGTGTTCTCACAACAAGCTCCCATTCTGTCTCTGAACAGGGTTCAATTGGTTTGCCTGGGATGCTTGGACAGAAGGTAAGAGTAATTAAAGACTTAAGAAGATTAAAGATTTGCTTTTTATCCAGTTATTCCTCACTTTTGCTTCTCTCAAAGGGCGAAAAAGGACCAAAGGGAGAGCCAGGAACATCAGGGAAGAGAGGACCGACTGGGCGTCCGGGGAAGAGAGGCAAACAGGTGAAAAAAATAAACGTTCTTAAAACAGTTTTGGAAAATATAGCCAGTGAAGTGGGGTCTTTTACCTCACACACACACTCACTGATGCTGTTCCCATTGATTAGCACTTTTTTTTTTTTTTTGCATAATTGCTTTGTAATCTACTTTCTGGTATTTTATAATTTGCACAGGGTATGAAGGGCCAGACTGGGGCCACTGGATTGATGGGCCCTCCCGGACCTCCAGGTCCTACTGGCCACCCTGGGCCACCTGGTCCTCCTGCATCAGGTATAGTAGCTCACAGACATGACACAATCAGAAGCAGTATCCCACTGGCTGCTTGTGTGTTATCCAAGTTTATTTTTGTAAACTATGTGTTTCTTATAGGTCTCTATCTAGTAGGGGAAAAGGGGGATAAGGGTCTTCCTGGTCCACCGGGTCACTGTAACTGTGAAGGTGCTCTCGGACCAAATAATGCTCCTTTTGGAAGTTACACACAGCGGCGGAGTGGAAATAAAGTCACAGCGGTAAAACCACATCCTGTCACAATACTGTTATTGAGTATTTAGATTGGCATGCTTTCACTGATCAATGTGTGTGTGTGTGTGTGTGTGTGTGTGTGTGTGTGTGTGTGTGTGTGTGTGTGTGTGTGTGTGTGTGTGTGTGTGTGATATTCACCACAAGATATTTGTGGTAAACAGTGAGGAGGAGATGGACCATCTACAACAAGAGAATGCAATAGCATTCAGGAAGGATCAGAGGATGCTTTATTTTAAAGACAAAGATGGATGGAAGCCCATACAGGTAATTTCAAAGCATTTGCAGCACTGAGCAGCAGCAAGTCAACTGTATGACTATATGTACTGATGAAGGCAACGGTATGAGGCTGAAAGCGCTAGAAGAAAGTGGGGGTTTTTTGTAGATGGTACACAAAAGCTTTCCAGAAAATAAACTGCAACTTTAGCCTCAATGCTTTGATATCTTACATGCAAACCACTAGACTCAGAGGAAGTTGGAGCTTGTTCTTTCAATTTTTCTAGCCCTTCCAGCCATACCAGTCTACTGAGAAAGTCCCAGACAGAGTTGGCGTGTGTGGAGATGGAAAGGTGCAAGCCCAGCACGGAGAGGAGTGTGATGATGGAAACCAGATTGTCACAGATTCTTGCCTCAGTGAGTTCTGTGTTTGCTTTGTTAACTTGCACACCTGCAGAAATAGCCTGTAGAGGTTGAAATCTCATATAATGCAAGATGTCCCATTTTGCTTATGTTTCTTTATCTCTTACAAATATCCAGCTTATGTGAATTTAGCTGAAACTGCTTTTCATTTGTCTAAATTTAAAAAAAAAGAGTCTCCAACTGTAAAGTAGATTGGTTTTGCTGCTGATGAGGTACCCTGCAGAGCATAACTCCAGTACACCACAGAGTCTGATCCCACATGGCATAGGATGAAAGCTAGTAAGCACTGTGAGACCTTTCCTTGATCTTTCATTAATCTCAACCCCCCTCTTTTTTCTGCTGCCATCCTCTCCCTACTCTCTGCTTCTGTTCAATTAAATTAGCAAGAAAATGCTGTATTGGCATCACTGAAGCAGACTGCAGTGCCAAAGAAATTAGTAATGTCTTCTCTCTCCCTACCCTCCTCTGCCTCCTGCTGCCTCTCACCTCCTTTCCCTTGTGACAGACTGTAAGTGGGCCTACTGTGGAGATGGCTACAGGCACGAAGGAATAGAGGAGTGCGATGGAAAAGACTTTGGTTACCAGACCTGCAAGTCTTATCTCCCTGGGTATGTTCACAGACAGCTCTCAGAACACAAATGTAGAGTCCATTCATTTAGACTTGCTCCAGAGACCAGATAACTCGAGATGAATCCATTAAAGTGTCAAAAACTGCATTTCTAATATGGGACTCTGTGAGGACGGACTATTTGGAGCCATTTTCACATGGCCATTTGAGAAACTGAAGTTTTTGGCACACATTCACGTTGATTTCAGTTTTCAATCTCAGATTTTGTACTGTGTTAGCAACTAGTGAGCTAGTTACTGCATCATCTTTTGTCTTCTTGCAGTGTAGTAATCAGTGTTAGGGTGACGTAGTGAAATTTAAACATGTTTTGTGAGCAGCACAGTTTGAAACAGTCCGCTGGCCGGGCCTTTCTACATGGAGTTTGCATGTTCTCTGCAGCTACTCTGGGTCGTCCCACAGTCCAGAGACATGCACGGATTAGGTTAACTGGCAATTCTAAATTGGCCCTGGGTGTGAATGTGATTGTGAACAGTTGCCTGCCTCTCTCTGTTAGCCCTGCAATAGACTGTCCAAGTTGTACACAGCTGGTATATGCTCAAACCCGTGACGTAACACAGTATATCTCATTTCTATATCATAGCAAAAGCACAGTTTGGGGTTTTCAGTGCCGTACTTTATTTAGGCCAGGATTTCTGTGAGTCCTGACTTTAAAAAATATAAAACATAAAATGTTATTAGTGAGCCATAAAGATGCTCACATGCAGATTTTTTGTTTTTTTTAACATGTGTTTAGCTCCTTTTTATGGACTATGATGGCATCATAATTTCTTATATAGTTAAGAACCTTCAGCGGCCTAAAATACACATGTGTGACAAGTTCAGTTGCTCAGCTCCTGGGTCGTCTACAGCGAAGAAAGTTCAACATACCCAGATTGTCTGATGTGGATTCACTAAATGCAGCGCTGCTTTAAAAAAGACAAAAGACAAAAGATTAATTTTGAACCACCTAAACAAAACACAGGGTTAACCCTGAAGTTAAGGATAAGCCAAAATCCTGCTTTGTAAAACAAGCCTCTGTTGGTATAGGAGGAGTTTGCAGACAAAGATACAAACAAATACAGAGAGAGCGTTTTTGTAAGTATAGTAAGTGTTACTGTATGAATATAAGAGCTCATCTAATGGTGGGTCTGCTTTGAGAAATAAGTCAGTATGCTTATCTTCCAAAAATAGTCCACTCACGATAACTGTAAGACAATGCAGCGCATCAATTGCACGTATTACAAACCAGTTTTTGTGTCTCCTGCAGGTCCTTTGGGCATCTCAAATGCACCGACTCATGCCTCATTGATTCTACTGGCTGCAAGTACTTCACCTGAATTCAGAGGTTTGAAAACAGCCTCAGTGGATCTTTGCAAATCCTCTTGATGATCATTGTGATCAAAGGGATTGTACTTCAGATTTCAACTGAAGTCTCACCACTTAAAAAAAAAAAAAAATTAATTAATTAATAAATAAAGGACAGACTGAGAAAGAGTAGTTAAGGGAAGCTCTTGTGCCTGTTCTGAGCCACGAAAGGTCACGGGGGGTGTAATCTCTAATTGACCTCAGAAAACAGCTCTTTGCTAGTGTCACTTCATCGGCTGCAGCACTGTTACGGACACTGGAACTGTTGGGAAACATTTTAATGATTTCTTGTTTGTATCATACGAAATAGTTGTGTATGACTTGCTGACTGTTAATGCAGAAATAAGCTGTGTTATAAAGCACTTTTTAATATGAAAAAGATATAGAGATATATGTACTGTAGTATACAAATCAGGGGTGTGTAAGTGTGTTTATTCCTGTGCAATATATTACAAAAAAAATGCAGTATATTGATGAAGTGCAATGCTGTCATATTGCATGTAAATGTGTTTTTTTAGTGCACGACAGACCGCTTTAACCAATGCTGTAAATATCCAAGCCAAAGTGAGGCCTTTTAGAAATGAATGTCCAAATAACTCAGATGGAAGAGATGGGAAAAAATGAATGTCATCCAAAAAAGGATCATATTTGATTATTGCAGCAGCATGTGGGGGATACATCAAATCATTCATTAAACTGTAATTAGCTGATAATCTGCCTGCATGACTGTACGTTTCATGAAGCACTGTACACTAATAAAGATTCATTCAGATGTTGCCAAAGGAAAGTTGTGAGGGGGATTGTCTGTGGGTGGGGCTGCCGAAAAACGATCAGCCAATCAGAGGAAAACTTCCTGCAGCGACTTGTCTCTGCCACGTAGAGGAACAGCTGCACGTTTTCATGCTGCAGCAAGTCTGTTAGAAACTTTTTAGCTCTTTGTTCAACAGGCTGTTTCTTCTGAAAGCTGACTGTGTCAGCATGCTGCTGGTTGTGCTGAGCTGGCTCTGCTCCTTCATGCTGGTGTCCGTCAGCAGCGGGGGGAAGCTGCCCGAAGCTGAAGTGACGATAGAAGTTCTGCACAGACCTTTCCTCTGTCACCGAAAGTCCAAGTATGGAGACATTCTGCTGGTGCATCATGACGGATACTTTGAGAATGGCACCATGTTTTTCTCCAGGTTTGTTTCATGGCTAACGCGAGGCTTATAACGCTCAAATATGATGATGCAACTCTGTCAAGGAAGCAATGAAGGAGCTGGCTGAAGGAGAGATGCAGTGACGTCACCCTGGTTTCATAAACGGCTTTTATAGATTTAAAACTCTCGAATGTCGATGTTAGCATTTATCTGCAAGGGATACAAAGTTAAATGTTATGTCAAACATGAGGCCCGTGGGCCAAAATAGGCCGGGCAAAGACTCCAATCTGGTCCACTGAACACATAGCTGTAAAACTTTTAACTACTGTCAAAGACTTCCCCCAGGGCCATTCATACCACACCAAAGTTATTAAGTAATAGATAGTCAAATTATATGACAGAAAATTTTCAGTCTTTTCACTAAAATGAGCAAAAACTTTTTTTTTTTAAATTACATGGTAAGCTACTAGCAACTAGAACTTTTTCTGTAATTTCATGGCCAAAGAGTCATGCTGACTGATTTCTTCCATGAACTACAGCAGAATTTCCTTATCATGTAGAAAAACTGAGTCATACTATTAAAAATTGCTTCTTTTCCTTATACTAAGACATGCGAACGGTTCAATGTGTAGTTTAACTTCTTTACACAGACAGAAAGGGGAGTTTCACTGGTGGGCTGGACCAGTGAAGTGGCCTGTATGTGGCCCACGATGTAAAATGAGTTTGACGTCCCTGCTTTAGTGCAAGAGTGTCAAACATTAGGTTCATGGCCAAAAATGGGCCCAGCCAAGACTCCAGTGCGAGCTTTGGAAAATGTGATTAGGATCAATTTTGGACTTTTAACTGTATTTTAAGTTTTAGAGTAAAGACCTCCCCCATGGACAGTTGTATTACACCAAATTAACAGTTTAAAAATTAAATAATAATAATGTAAATTAATAATATTATTGTAAAGTAGATTTTCTGTGAACTAACAAATTCTTCTGTTTTATAATTACAGGACTGTCTGGGCAATGAGCTAGCAGAACATTTTTTATAATTGTACACATTTCTTTCTTACAATTAATGCCCAAAGAGTCGTGGCAACAGATGTTTTTCATTTACTAGAGAAATATTTCTCTGTTGTGCAGAAAAACTGAGAACCTGTGTACTGTTACACTTCTTTTTCTAATACTAAGACATCTCAGGTATTAAGTCTGTTAAGATTGAAGTGGACTTTGTGTACCCCGCAATAAAACATTTTCCATCTCTGCCCTAGCTTACATAGCATTGAATTTAGGTTTTAAAACTGCATCACTCTGATACATTTAGGGCTCTATATACTCTGTAATAATCCTTATTTATCATATGATATGTTTTAGTGCACCTCTCCTTAGGGCTGTTCGATATAACAATATATATCGGATGATGATATAAAAAAGTATGTTTCATTTTACGCTATCGTTTGTTTCGTGGCGTCGCAAAATAAACCGTTTACAGCAATATTTTTTCATTGTTTTGATGGTCACTGTAGTGGCTATATTAATTTCTTCAAGTTCTCTCTTTCTCTTATATTTTATATAACCACACTACAGACGGACAAGTGCCTGTTTTTATGTGTTGTGGTTAGCAACAACTACGGTAAAACCATCGCGTGTCCGCTTGTTTATGTTCCACATAAACCTTTCACAATAAAGCTTAAGATCCTGTTGAGACTTTTCAAAATAAACTGAATCACGTGAAAGAGCAGATTATTAACGGATGAGAATTAAAAAGGAGCCGCCAGGTGATAAAAAAATAAACCTTCGACTCAAACGTTAGAACAGGCTTTTCCCCGCAGCACGCCGTGTAATAAATACTCACAAAGAAAACGGCGGCCTTTACAACTTATGTCTAAAAATGTATAGTTTCATGCATCGGTTAAAACACTTGACTCCGGGTAAAGGACGCGCAGCTGGAAACACTTCCCGCAAGACGAGCTGCCCGAGATTCACAGAATTTACAGAAAATGTTACATTTTTGTGATTTATATCGTTATCGGAACGATAGAACTCTTATATCGGGATATGAGATTTTGGTCATATCGCACAGCCCTACCTCTCGTGCATCCAATGCTGACAACAAGCAGCTTTAGTCTTCAGATTGGCTGGACCTCACAAATGTAAGGTTTTGACACTGGGTGGGTGGAAAAATAATATCCCTCTTCTTGAATTAATGAAAAATACTTTATTTATCCCATAAATAATAACATCGACTGCCAGATGACTCTCTGCCAGACAGATGTTTTTTTTTATGATGCAATAATACAGCTATTTTCTCTTGCTTTAGACTCAGGTGGTAACACTTTTACCACTCAGGAACACAGACACAAGGCTAACACAGGTCTTCAGAACTTCGCACTGATGCCATCAGGGTCTGCGTCCTTGCTGTAGTGTGTAGTTTCTCCAGCTGTCTTCTAACCAGGCCAGAAGACAAACAAGCAGGGGTGGTTCCTCAGATGTGGGGTGGATGTGGTTTTAATGAAGAATAAGTGGAGAAGGGCAAACTCATTGAAGGTGATGAGGGTGTTTACTGAAGGAGGAGGCTGCAGAATGCCCTTCATGCTGCACTCTCCTCAGTTCCTTTTCTCCAGACATGAAGGCGTCTTTTTTTTTTTTTTTAACAAGCAGTTCTTTCGGGTCACTGGTGATCAAGGTTTATTGTTCTTAAAGCAGCATACAGTTCCAGCTGGAAAGATAGTGTTCACTTGATATCTTCTGAGATGGAGCTTGTCGATTTGTTAATGTTCTCTCAGTGCGGTTGGCTAGGTCCACAGTCTTTGAAATCACATAGAGCCTGCAGTAGAAAAACTGTCTGATTGGAGCATTCATATCAGCAGGAATCATTATAACTCTGAGAAAAGCATCATAATTTCCTTGACCTTTGATGACACCTCAGAGACCATCTCTACATCTTAACTTTTCACTCTTTCTACACCTGTGTTTGTTGACCAGTCGAGTCAGCGGTGACAAGCAGCCAATCTGGTTCACTCTGGGCATCAGAGAAGCAATCAAAGGCTGGGATAAAGGCCTGCAAAACATGTGCTCAGGAGAGAAGAGAAAACTGGTCATACCTCCAGAACTGGCCTATGGGAAGGAAGGAAAAGGTACAGAAGCTTCATCCATATCTAAGAAGTTTCACTGCATGTTTTATGACACGGTCTTCTTGGTGTCTCCAATTCTCACAGTGTGACATTATTATGCACGCATCTTATTATACTTGTCTTTCTTGTTCTTTTTAATTGCTTTCTAGGAATGAATTCATTCAATGTCTCTGAATGAAGGTTTCATTCAGTGACATTAGTCCACTTATTCTCTACGTGGAGCATGTGAACAATACTGTGCTTTTTTTGTCCGGTAAGCACAAGCCACTCTAACCCATAACATCTGTCTCTTCTGTTTCTAACTAACCTTTCTAATGCCAACAGATTCACAGCAATAGATTTGCTTTTTATTCCTTTTTACCATCTGTGTTCTTCAACGGAAGAAAACTTCCTGGATGCTTACTGGAAGTTTTGGCAATATTCAATTTCAGTTTGAACTGACATCTCTGCCCATTACCCTCCTGTTCTCTGTATTCAGGTAAGATTCCACCTGAAAGCACGCTTACCTTTATCATCGAGGTGCTACAGATCAGAAATGGACCTAGGTCACATGAGTCCTTTCAGGAAATGGACCTCAACGATGACTGGAAGCTCTCCAAGCATGAGGTGAAGATAACCATTGAAAACACATATGAAGTTACATGGATCGGTTACATATCCCATGTCACTCTAGACTTTACTTTCTGTACAAAGAGGAAAAAGTGTGGTTTCTAATTCATTTTATTATGTTTGTACTTAAGTCCCAGTCATCCTGTTCTTTTCATGTCTGCCAGGTGAAAGAGTATCTAAGGAAGGAGTTTGAGCGTCACGGCTACCCTCCCAA